AACATCTTACGATGAATACTATAGCACTATGTCTGACATGAACTATGCTGACATTTCAAGGCAAGCCCAAAAAGACAGACATAGTGCATGTGGATTTTAGTCGCCTCTTACGACAGGCATGCCTTACCACGGGTATATTCGGTTTCCCCCCCAACCTGGAGGGGTCCCCCCTACCCGCAGGGGGAATAAGATCGTATCAGTTCGGTAACATTTAATTTCATTCTGCTTGGGCTAAGCTCCCTTAAAATAATGTCTCTAACTGTTTATAAATAGCGCTGTTCGTAGCCAGATTGTTCATTATACATAGGTAGTTCAGCACGTTCATGGATGAAATAATTTTTTCGCCATGAAAGTCCTGCTTAGACTACTGCCGCATTCATAATGCTCAATAGTACTTTTTCGAAAAGCGTAATCTTGATATATGTACTAGGCACTCAGTCTGTGAGATATTTTGATCAAATCTTTAGAATACTCTTCGCAAATTATTACTATTTTCTAGTATCCTCAGTATCCGTACTATTTTTCAAGATAAATCTATGAGTTTATTGGGTTAAGGAATAACCATGACTAACCTAAAAAATATTTGACAGCTTTATTTTTTATATTAATTGAGAAAATTATTTACGAAATATATCTGAAATACTCAAAGAAATCGGCAATCAAAAAATATTATCAGTATCACTTTCGAAATTTCCATTCCAGCTTAGTGGTAAATCCGGCACATCATCACTTCGCCAATTCATATGGCTGTTCGATTGCTCATAAAAACTCGTGCGCCGTGGACGACGTCTGAGTGCATGTCGTCGTCGCTTTCTGTGCTCCGTGAAGTGGTCACGAGCTGCTTTCCTTGCATTGATTTTGCACAAATTACTGCTATGTTTATTTATTTGTCGACTGCGTAGCTTGGACCCAAAGTCGGCTTTATGACGTTGTCGACGAATTTCGGTACTTCGCCTCTGATGTCTAAAATTTCCGAACTGCTCACTTTTTTGTCGCTTGGTCTTAGTGGTGCCGCTCTTCAAACGCTTTATGGAATCTTTGTGTTGTAGAATGTCTTTCAGTTTTACCTTTTGATGACAGCGGTCACAGTTCGGTTTTGACTTGAACCATTTGCTAAAGAGCTTATGTAGTGAAAAAAAGCTTTTTTCTTTACTTTCTGTTGATTCCTTAGCGGGTGAGGCAGTCGTTAATGCTTTTGCATTTGAAACCTCTTTTGTGCTTCCGCAATTCTTGTTTCTTCCCAACAAGCGGCCCATAAAACTCAGCTTCTGTTGAATGGGGTCAGCCTGTTCTTGTTTGCGAAAGTTTTCTAACGAAATTTGAGCTTGACTCTTTTTCGTGAATTGTTCAATACCGAAATCATTACAGCCTTTGTCGGTGTCAAACTTATTTTTGTCGCCAAAATCGGTGTCGAGGCAAAAGTCATCAGCGTCATCGAGTGACTTACAAACATCATTCGAACCGGTACCTATGTGTGGTATGGGTACCATATATGGCGAGGCGATATTATCATCATCACACTTCTTGCATTGATCGCGAGGCATTAACGGCATTGGCTGAGTCGTTGGTTTGTGTCGAAAATGTTGTATGTTGTGATTTTTCCCCGCACATTTTTGCGCCATCGGCTGTGGTGGTGGCGGTTTCGTCGGACAAAATGGCAGTTTCACCTTCAATGCATCCTCAAAGATGCCCGACTGATCTTCATCTCTTACTTCCTTATAATCGGGATAATGTAGGTTTTTACTACGCTTTTCATATTTTGGTTGGTCTTGTTCGTCGGGGTAGTAGTTGCTTTCGTACATCTTGTGTCGGCTCTCTGAGCTCTCAGAGTCTTTGAGACCACGCAAATAATACCGTTGGTAACGTGGTTGTCCGGCGTAATGTACTAAAGTCAACATTTTGGATTTATCAACTTCTTTATTCTCACGTTCTCGCAACTCCCGCACGACGCGACTGAGCTTGGCGCGCATTGAAGGTGCGTGGAATTCTCTTTGAGCTTTCCAACGATGCTTTAAGTGTCTTCGCAGTTTCTGCGTATTTACTTGTGTTGGCGGCTTTGCGGTTGTGGCGATGGGAGCTTCGGTCACAGGATAACACATGGTCGCATACCCAACAAGGAACTGAGTTGTCCCTTCTTGCGGATTATTCGTGGGTGTCGTCACTTCTGTAGGAGAGACGGTTTGCACTTGAGTTGTTGCTTCTTGTGTATCGCCAGCAGGAAGTTGCGTTGTCTGTACTGTCTGTGTTGGAGCACTCTCTGGTGGTTGTGTAACTGCAGATGAAGCGGCTTGGTAAGCGGTCGTGGTAGCCATCTGCGTATCGTTTGAAGGCTGTGCAGGAACATTTTGAGACGATACTGTTGTTGTCACCTCCAGTGTGCTATTGCCCGGCGGCTGAGTTACTGGAAAGCACATCGTTGGATAGGCTTCAATCGAGTTTGGCGTTGTGAACGAAGTATCATTTGTTGTGTTAGTGCCTGCAGATCTATCTGGTATTGGTGTTGTTGCATTATTATAAAGTATTTGTAAGGCACCACACTCATTGTAGGGGTTTATCGGTTTTGGAGTTTGTGTTTCGTGATTTGTTGTCTTCACTGCTAGATCTGTAATTTCTTCTTCATCAGGCCCACATGTGGTGTGGGGCTCAGCTTGATCTATGATTTCTTCCTCATCAGGTCCACATGTGGTATGTTGTCCAGCTGGTTCTGTAATTTCTTCTTCATCAGGYCCACATGTGGTGTGTGGCCCAGCTTGATCYGTGATTTCTTCTTCATCAGRTCCACATGTAGTGTAATCATCTTCTAACGGTTTGAGTATAAGCAGCTGGATATGATGTTTATAAGTGTTGGTCTCAACGGTCTGCCCATGCGCTGATATTTTTTCGTTATGCCCTTGTTTTTCTTGTTCTACTTCCGAGCCATYCTGTGGTTTCCTGGTTTCAGATGTTGCAGATTCTTGCTTATCTGGTGGCGGATTAGATACTTCTTCCTCTTCGGGTCCACACGTTTTGTTTACTTCGTTGTCTTCGCCTTCTTCACTTTCTTCTTCACACTCTGACTCTTCTTCTGAGCTTTCGTTACATTCCTCTTCTGTTTCCTCATTTTCGGTAGTTTTGTCTCCGGTTTGTTCTTCCTCTGCGTTTTCTGTTGTTGTTTCGTTTCTATGTAAGACGTGTGATTTGAAGAGTTGCAACGCAATTTTTTTTATTAACTCATCCCCTTCGTTTTTTGCCGTGGAGGGTTCTTTTGATTTTGAGTGCGGTCTTTCGATACTTGTTTCATGTTCGCTGTGCTTTCTTGCTTCGGAATCTTTATCTCCATTACCGCCTTCGGTAGTTTCCATTCCCCCGCGATTACAAGTGCAAGAAATTATTTTAGTGCTGGATTCTTCTTTTGTTGTAACCATTTCTTCCTCACTATTTTCCATCGTTTTATTGAGTCTGTGTGGTGTAGATTCATCCTCTTTTTCTGTATCGGATTTCTTTTTCGTTGTGTCCTCCTCACGATCTTCAGATTTGTGTTCATCTTTTGTTGTGTTTTGAGGTTCTTTGTCTTCTGAATCACTTTTTCTTGCCGTTGTTGCCTCAACGTGGTCTTCATCTCTGTGCTGGTTCTTAGTTTTATTGTCGTGTCGTTCTGTTACGGTTTCTTCGTTTTCCGAATCATGTTTTCTTGTCGAATGCTGTTCTTCCTCACGATCTTCTTCATCGTGCTTATCTTTATGGTGATGGCGATGCTTACCCACTTCTTCGTCTTCTAATCCATGTTTCGTCGTCGTATTATTCTCATCTCGGTTTTCCTCTGTATGCTCATTTCCGCCATGCCCACTTTTCATTTCATTTACACAACGTTCGGTTGTAGCTTCATCCATATCCGAAGCATGTTTTCGTGTTGTCGCTTCTTCTGCGCGATCCCTGCCTCCACTACCATATTTCACGTTATGATATTGCGAATGTGTGGTGGCAGCCCACGTTACAATCTCYCTTTCGGTTGTTGTGCTGCAAGTGGTGTTCTCATTCGGTGGCATTGTAAAGTCTTCAACGTGTAGAGTACGCGGCGTAGCTATGGGATGACTGCCGAGATCAATGAAGTGCTCTTCCTCTGCCCCGTCACCTCTGCCATGATTTTCATATTCTTCATCCTCTTTCTTGAGTAGCATCTTCATGGCATGGGAAAGCATTTTGCCTTTCAATTTTAGCAAACCCTCAATGTACTCCTGATACTTGGCCGCACCGTGTGCACCGTGAGCTGCGTTGCATTGCATATTCCCCGCATTCGACAATAATATTCTTACAATTAAAATCGTAAAAATTAAATAAACCSTTTTTGAGAAATACATTTCGAATATTTACTTATAAAAAATCAAATATCTTTCAAATTTTCTACACATTCAAAGAACCGTTTTAAGAAATGTGTTGAAAATTACTAAAATAAAAAGTCGATAGGTTTATGTATATCGATTTTGAAAGTACTAATTTTAATATTTTTTTTTAATATCAAGCGAAATAGGAAGCTTTTGGTTTGAGTTTGCAAACTTGTCTTATAATCCTCCTACGTAGACTTTCGTTTGTCCTGAGTTTTTTTATAGACTGAAATACATTTTCCTACACTGTTAGCCGAAAATAACTCGAGTACGGCATATTCGGTAGTCAATTAAACGATCCATTATTTCAAGAAATGTATGATGTATCTACAAAACTATTGGAAAGATCTCAGCTTAAAGTAAAGTACTCTGAAAATGTTTCTTATAACGATCAGATATCGGCGGTTCGGACAAATAAACAGCTTTTTGCGTAGCAAAGGACGTGTGCAGAATTTCAAAAGTTATCCATCCAACTGGAAGGTAGTCAGTTCTTGGGTTCTAGCATTGGATATTTGTCTCTCCAGCAAATGTTCTGACTCACACGAGGGGCGACTAAACAGCCTGTCGGATGGTCTTTGCCAAAGGTGTATGGAAGAAGGTGAGGTGGAATCATCATGTCATTTCCTCCTCTATTGGCCGGCTTTTACGAGACTGAGATTTTAATATCTCTGTAGATTGATATTATTACAGCTAACCAAAGATGTGTGCTTCGGCGATCTATGAGGATCTAGTGATCCACTTTCTGCAGTTTACAAGTAAGAAAAATTACACATTTTCTGCCAAAATCGACGAATCTCACGATTTTGACTCAACCATATGACCTAACATAACCTATTCTGTAAAGGTTGAATAAACATGGTAGATCTCCGTTTGAACTTTTCTCCATATGGGTAAATTTATAAATCGCAATAGCTGCCCGTGGAAATCATCGGAAGGTGTATGGCTTCCAAAGTTGCCATCAGATTCAGAGAGTCTAAGTTTCTAAAAGAACACTTGTSTGAACATTCGGAAATCTTCACTCACTTTGACTTTCTACCAGATCGCTGCAGTTTCAGACTTGCTGACTACTACAGCGTTTTCCAGGCCGAGGTAGCAGCCATTAATGTGCAATAGATTTAGTGTTGTGGAGTGCAGCCTGTTTCAGAGAAGTGACCATCCACCAGTGCTCTGCCTGCGATATATCCTGTTAGAAGGTCTACCTGCAATTCCTTTTTACTTTACAATTAATCAGTCGATCTAAGTACTTAAACTATACCCCCTATACCCCCAAATTTTCCCGAAGGAACTGTAATGAATAAACACTGAATATAACATAGCAAGAATATTCGAATTTCACATCGCTCTACTACATTCTGAACTCTTCAAACAAATTCTTTGTCAATTCTCCTTTTCACCCAAGACTTATTAGAGCTTAGCAGCAGATCTCTCTCCACTGATTTATCCATCGAGCTCAAGGGTAAAGAGCCAAGCGGAAATCCCACAATAATTCCATTTAAGTTGCTTACCGGGCACAAACTTTACCATGTAGATATGTGTCGGTCGGTTTATGCAACCGTTATTGGTCAACTGTCAATAGTCGCTCAGCGTATCATCAATACTTACTGTAAACTTTGAACGGTCCCCATTGTTGATTCGAACTTAATTGCTCTTGTTGCTGCGGCAGCAGTTGTTGTTGCKGTTGCTGTTGTGTTTGCTTTTGCAAAAGTGATGACTTGTGTTGGTGTTGCTGTTGTTGTTGCTGTGACTGCTGCATGCCAGGCAGCGACAATGTCAATGGTGGCAAGGCACCACCAATATACGACGCTTGTTGTTGTTGCTGCGTTTGGCCATTTGCCAAGCTGCCAAAGTTGGTGGCTGCTGTTGACAGCTGCTCATTGGCCCCACCACCACCACTACCAACACCATTGAGGCCAGCCGCTCCAGTACCACCAGCGCCATTCAACAACGTTGTTTGATTAGCGGCGGCAATTATTGCTGATGTGGCATTCTGCACGGTTGGCGACGTTTTYAATTGCAAGCCACCCGTCGCGGTCAGTGTGTATTGACCAACTGCCGCAGCGGCCGCAGCCGCTGCCGCTTGTTGCTGTTGTTTGATCTGCTGCTGCTGTTGTTGTTGCTGTTGCTGCTGTTGTTGTTGCAAATAGACGCTGAGGCTGTGATGCGCGGCGGCGTTGGTGGGTGTGTTGGCGCCGCTCGCACTGCCAGCAACACCATTGCATGTGGCGGCAGCAGCAGCCGCGGCGGCCGCGGCAGCGGTGGCATTGCCCAGCAAGCTCTGCTGATGCTGATGTAGCAACAATTGTTGCTGTGGCAAGAGGTTGGCTGTCATGGCAGCCATGGCGACGGCGGCCACCTGCTGCTGATGCTGGTGCTGGTGCTGCTGTTGTTGTTGTTGATGGTGATTATGCGCTTGCTGCTGTTGCACATGATGCTGATGATGTGGATGGGGCAACAAGTGTGTTGACTGCTGCTGCTGCTGTTGTTGTTGCTGTTGCTGCTGGTGCAGCTGTTGTTGGTGTTGTTGGGCCAGTGCTGCGGCAGCGACAGCGGCATTTATGTTGCTGCTATTCACCGCATCGCTGAGCAAGCGCGACGTGGATGTCATTAGGCGTTTACGCTTCTTCGGACGGACACCGGATGAGCGCAGCAGCGTCGACGAGCAGTAGCTGTCATAGAAGTAGTCCCTGTGTAAATGAAAGAGAGAAAGAGAGAGAGTGAAAAAAGTGAAAAAYAAGCAATCAAGTGACGCAAAGCGAGTTTAATTGAAATGTAAACACCGTTAAATGTTGGTAAAGGTGGAAACGAAAGTGAGAATTTATGCCTGAAAACAGACACGTAATGRCGCAAAAATATCTTTGTACAGGACGTTGTGCTTTATCTGGCCAACATTGATTCAAAAAATTACAACCTTATGATGTACTTTTGATGGAATGGCATTTTGGCTTTGGTAAACATTTTTTATTCTGCATCAGATAACTCAAAAGTAGACTCGGACTACTGTATTAATTTTTCTAATAGCGCATATTCATATACTCCAAGTAAAAAGCTCAGAAAACATTTATGATATCGATTTCTCCAGATTCCATTTAGAACAAATATTTAAAAAATCTGTAAATCGGGTAATCAATGAATCAGTTTCGCACCACGTTTATCCAATTTATGGACAATTTCGGGGATCTTGACTTGCGTGCCTAAAAAATCCAACTGGTGCAAGTCAGAGGTAATCATTCGTCCATATTTCTTCAAAATTGAAGCCGGCTATAATGTTACAGTCAATGTTTTCATGGCTGGATTGGAAAAAATTGATGCGGATCTTTGGACCCAACGCTACAGGCGCTACAGCCAACGAAACAATGAATTCATTGAAGAAGCTATTGGTGAGTGCATTAGCTCACGTTGTGGGTTTGTGACATTACTTCCAAGATCGTGCGTTTTAATATCGCTGGACTATTTAACTATATAGCTGTGGGCATATATTTCACCGAGTTGAACGAGTCAACAATTTTATTTTCGACTTGGGCTTTTTTTATTCGGTTTTTGCTCCCAAAAATCAGTGTTTGATACTCACCCCGCTTCACCTAGTAATCGGTTAAGTCGCCAAACATACTCTTCAAATGACAGCAGAAGGGTTTAGTAAAGGTAAGGTAATCTCTTCGCAACGTATGAATGAGCTAAGTGGCGTCACACCACTGGCTCTTCTCCCTAGTGATAGCATTACCAAGAAGATAAACTCCACTAGGAAGTTAAAGAGTACCCGCAGCACTAAGGCCGCATGGAGCGACTACGCTTTCGAGCTACCACTTGGGGTCAAGTGGTTAGCCCAGGCCTCAAAAACTTCGGAGTGAATTGGCGGAGAAGTCACAGGACCCCGCACAATTGGCAACCACAACGATAAGCAGTTGATAAGGAAAGACATTGGCAACAACTCCCAGGCAAGCGCCATRAAAAGTTGCTCACAACCTCAAAAGATTTAACCTAAAAAGATTTAAATATGTAACCAATCCCCAAGGGAAAAACTCAGGCTACTTGTCGCCTTCCAAAAAGGCCATTCAGAGCTCAAGAAGCACTTACTTCACATGCCTAGTTTCTTGTGTAATTGTTCTGCGGTTGTAATACAGTTTTATTTGAGTTTTTCGAAGTGCATCTGTAAGTTTCCGATAACATTTATTATTAAAATAATTATTAAATATAATTCATTTAACTTTAGAGTGCACCCTATATTCGGCGACAACAGAAATTAGTGCCTCTTACTATTTTCCAAGAAACCTAGAAACAATAAAACGTGCCAAAAAACCGCCAACACACCCCTGGCTGATAGTAAGTAGTAACCATTTGAAAACCCCTTTGTTCTTATGGGTATAAATTTTTACTATCGAACATCGAGCTCTAACCAAAAAACCACAACAAAAGGCAGCAAACCCGAAAATCAAACACTTAAAAATTGCTGCTTGACGGACACTAATATTGTCAATATTTGTTTATGAACAAAGTACATACAAATATACCCACACACATACATACATACATGCAAAGTGTAAACAGTTTACTCTTTACTTCCGACAACTATTAACCCTCACAAAAAGTTGAGAAAAAATCAAATACTGCTCAACCCTTTGGAATATTCTGTAACCTGCACACATTTCTCATCGGCTGCCGCACTGATTGACAGACACACACACACAGGTACACCGGGAACTCAGCACCTTCTTCAATCCATTCCAACGAGCCAAAGCAAACAGCATACAAGTGCTTAAACTGTAAGTCAACATGTTGCACGTTTGCTTCCCATCCGCCAAATCTCAGTCCACTAACCGTCACCGCGTCGCCCTAACCTCAATTCAACTCAATTTGCGGTTCTATATATGTACATWTGTAGGTAGGTAGGCCATTTTGTGTTTTGACCTTTCTGGCTGATTTTCGGTTATTGCCGGTTGGGCGGCTGTATTTTCGGTGCATTGTATTGTCACTGTATCGCACACAGTCTGTGTGGCATTTGCGGCTTGTGGTAAGTGGTGTGGTAACAATTGATGAATCGACAATTGCGTGTGTGTATGTGTGCGAGTACGTGTGTGGTTACTTTGTGGTTTAAAATTGCTGTTTATATAGTTGCATTTAATGATATCTATTCCAGGTGTAATATACGCATTGGTTTACACTTTTATGTAAGGTGGATGGCATTTTGTCTTGGAGTAATAAAAAGCAAAATTCATATAATAGGAAACGTTTTGAGTTCTTCAATTCAAAATTTTTTTTTTATTTTGGGAATATTATATATAAGATCCCACGGTTTTTCAATATGCTGTAGARTTAAACTTAAATTCGGTCTTCAATATTGCCTTACCTTTTGAGAAGAATGGGAAATGGGTGATATGGACCGAGATACAGAGATAAGAATCTATGCGAATGGGTCCAAATCACGTAACCGAGTTGGAGTTAGTGTCTTTTCAGCTAAATTAGATAGCAGAATYGCCTGTCGATTACCAGTCCACAGAAGTATCTCCCAAGCGGAGATAACTGAAATTAAAGTAAGGCTTCTCKTTCTGACAACAAGTGTGCTCACAAAAAARTATTCATATATACAGATAGCCAAGGGGCCTTCAAATCATTAAGTTTACATAAGGTTTCGTCAAAGGTCAAGAAAGAATGGTGTGATCTCTTAGAGGATCTAACATTCTATATCACGATAAACCTGCAACGGATTCCAGTATGTAGTGATATCCCTGGCAACTGTTAAGCAAATCAACTAGTCAGATCCGGCACCATCCAACAATTAGACTCTGAAAAAGAGGGAATTTATATGCCCTTTGGCTACTTGTAGATATTTAAACGACAAACATGTTAAAGGCATAGCTGGGTGTCAGTGGAGTCAATCGCTAATCTGCTCAACAAGCAGGCAAACATGACATGAATGGAATATGGGTCGCACATCTCGAATGTTATAATTCAAAAGGAGAAGTATGATTACTGACAGGTATCATAGGCGGACAGGCTAGAAGACGATTATATAATCTGTAAAGATGTAGAAGAAGAAGAGAATACACCAGCTGCTATGTGTGTGTAAGATTTTGCTTAAAAAAATTCGAAACTATGGGTCGAGGGTTCCCTGACGATGTCTTGGTGGTTTCACATGTTTTATTGATGAACTTCATCAGGAACACAGGGTTCCAKAGAGAATATTATGGGGGGAGATGGGCACCCTAATAGCCAAGGTCATCCAACATAGCTATTAACCTTCCTATAGATTCGTTAAGCTTATCTAATAGTTGAAGTGTATTAATAAAGGGTTTAAAAGTTAGTAGAATGTTTTGTTATCAATCGCCCTAACTRTGAATAAATAAAAATATGTATTCAAAGATCCGAAGTAATTAAAAGTCAAGCGATTCATATTGATTCTGATCAAAAAGAGAGCGCAAAATTATCGTAGTAACTCGTAGTATGCACTTTTCTGAAATTTCTAGAAACAAAAAATTAATTATGAGATAATAAGGGCATTTTGTATTTTTTTTTTCTTTTTTTTTTTTTGTCTTCAAAGCAAAATTTCAGAATAAACTGAATCGCATCCATGGAACGATAAGCTGTACGAGATTTACATACGCCATTGACATCGTTCAGCGAATTAAGAGGCAGCAACTATGTYGACTCGGTAATGTCGGCCRAATGGATGAAAGCACTCCAGCCCTGAGGCTATTCGACGCAGTACCCGCTAGGGGGAAGCTGAAGAAGTGGAAGACATCTGCTACTTTGATTGGATTTCTAAATGGCGCCAAACAGCGAAAAGGAAGAACGACTCAAGCGCCGAAGAATCACTTCCAATGAYATTTTAAATCAAATTTGTGAAAAAATCAAAACTTTCCTACTGGGTCATAGGCGTCAAGCGTTTGTTAAATATTAACTGTCAGGAGCACGAAAAGCGCAAGGATAGTGGCAACAGCATGTCAGCACTGCCGACACACACACTCATATGTATACGTAAACAGTTGGTCATCATTATCGCGGCCATCAACGGCAAATGTCAACGCCAAACAAACTGGCGACAAGTGAGAGTGCCAGCGACGTAACGCCCAACGGTATTATTTTTGCACTCGCCGACAAACGGACACACGATCATTGTTTTTGTAAGCCGAGCCATTTATAAATATTCACATTTGTTGGTATGCGGGTGCATGTGTGCACTTGCACGAGTATGCGTGTGACGCATTTGCAGTGTTGACGGAACACTTCACGGCGCATATCAAAGCGCGAGCACACAGCAAAGGCCAGCGAGTAGTTCTTTTTCCGGTAGTGACAGTGGCTTGATTGAAAAAAGAACACAACTATATATGTATATGCATATGTATGTATGTGTGTCTATGATGACTCTTTAGAGTGGAAAAAAGTGTTGCCAACAAACTGCGACAAGTTGCGCATAGTCGGTCCTCAGTCCGCAGTCCTGAGCCATCAGCCAGCAGTCGCCAGCCGCCAAGCGCCCACAAGCCGCATTAAAACAAAGAAAGGCCGCCGTTAGCTCGCAGCCAACAAAAAGGACATTCGAGTGATGAATTGTTTGTTGTTATTTACAGCAAGTAACCGCACGCAGCCAAGTGGCAAGCAGCGAAAGTACACAAAAATGAAACTGAATAAACGAAATAAATTGCCGGAATAACGCCGCTTCCATTTCAGACGCAGCAGCTTTGCTTTTAATTTAATTTTTGTAGTGAATTTTGCATAAACGAACAAATAAATAAAAAAAAAAAACCATAATCTGCGGCCTTCATAAATTTAAAGATTCTTCGCAAGAACTCGATGTTGAGCGAACAGTTTTTGTGGCAGCWATGTGCTATAKTGGGCCGATCTGAACAATTTGCTCGGAGATTGTAGCATCCAAGCTCTGGATTCCGATYRTGCAGTTTGTATGGTAGCTATATCTTATGGTGGTTCGCTATAAGCAATTCCGACAAATGAGCAGCATCTTATGAAGAAACGGAAGCGTGCAAAATGTCAGGTCATTATCTTAAAAACTGAGAGACCCGTTGTCGTGTGTACAGACAGACCGATGACATAGATAACTTGATCAGAATCYCTTTTCTTGCTCTCTCGCTTGTCAGCTGGCAGGGCACCCTGATCTGTTTTCTGAGCTGRCWACAAAACACAATCAGGGTRCCGTCAACCAGCAGTTRGGGAAAAAGGCCGGATGCCAGAAGAGCAGCGCTATAATTACTTGACGAAATTAGTGTGAAATGAAATTTCATTGAACTGTGCGAACATATTACATTTTGTCAAAATAAATGTTTATATAAATTAATTAATGATCTTGCGTTTTAGCATTTATATAGTATATGTACGCATTCAAATTTAAATTACTGTGCGGTTTACATATTTATATATAAAAATTATATACTTTATGGAATCTCCAACATTTCCTTCGGGGTCATATATATCATACACTCTGTTCAAGGTGCGATTAAAGCAAAAGAGCGGGGGAGAGTTGAGAGAAATATAAACGGTTTAATGATATGTAAATATTTTAAGTAGTGAGGAATTGGTAGAAAAGGTGGGGTGTGCACTTGCCACACTGCTACTTTTTTCAATATCCCAATTTAAAGCCTCATGGTGCTCACAAGCAAAAACAACAAACAACGCGTGCTCACTGACACCCACTGTACTGAGTAGTTTGTCAAGTCGCTTGGAGTTTGAGTGTGGAAAATTGTTAAATGGTTTGAATTTGTAGCGCATTTGTCAGACTTAGACCAAAAAACCCCAAAAAAAAATATATGCAAAATATAAATTGCCGAAATCTGGCAAATAGCCGTACCAAAATAGAAATTTAATTAAAATGCACTTTGAAGCGTGAATTGGGACATTAGAGTGGTTTCCAACTATGCTAACAAAATTCAACACTCATATCTTGTTCTTTCTTTGTGAAACACWTGTATATAYACATACATATATGTATAGAAGATCCATTTATTTACTTTATACTCAATTACACACATATGCGCCTTCAAGTGCTTCCAATTTAAGCAGGTCCGGCGCTGACGTCTCAAAAGGGGACACATGTTTACCATTCGTTGGTCATTAATAAATTTTGCTGCCAATACTTGAGCACCGTAATCAATCATTCGCGTGGCAATGCTATTAAATTGACTGAGGGTGCACACTTTTGGAGCTTTCTTTATTTGCTGTAGTAATACCGTTATTACTCATTTGGCGTAATGTTGAACATGACAAGTACAGACGGGTACACTACATACATACCATACTTATTTCTGTGGTAGTATTTCAAAAGTATTAATAACGCACTTGCTTCTACAGGGTGACTCGAATAGCAATTTATTTTAAAATAAATTTCTAATTTATTAGTAAGATACAGTACGATATTTTTTTTACCGGCAGTGATGTAGTATGGGATCCATGAAGTTGGCAGTTAGAATGCACCTGGTTAGAGAACTGTTTGCTTTATCTAGTATTGCTTTATAAGATTTTGCGCACAATCAATGACATTTGGAAACTGTTGTTTGGACAAATAGTTTCGAGTTACCCTGATATTCACTAAAATAAAATATTCGTTTGCTCTAAGACCTATAAACCACCTCCCTTTCTTTAGAATCATAGTACAAAAGTAAACTAGCGGCATATTTCAATACTTTGTGACACCCAGTACTCTGACATTTGCTKATCTCGKCGATATTTGGTTCCAACAAGACGGCGTAACTTCTCACACATACATCGTATCAGTCAATAGATTTATTGTGAGAACACTTTGGTGACCAGAAAGTTTCACATTTTGGGCCGGTCGATTGACCAGCAAGATCGTGAGATATCACACCCAAACTTTTTGTAGACGATTTTCTGTGAGGATATGTGCAGTTTAAAGTCTATGCGGACAATCCCGCAAAACATCATGCGTGTCATTCGCCATTCCCCGTCSAAATGTTTGAACGAGTCATCGAAAATTAGRGTTGATGGGCATTTGAGACGTAGCCATGGCCAATATTTGAAAGATATAATCTGYAACAACTATATGRCAAAGAATATTCTTTCGAATGATGATAATGATTCACCATTAAATTTGTAGTTTCTGTGTATTTAAGGAATCTCGAAATGGATTGACCTTTAATTAACCAAAAAGCTTGAAACGGGTCAAATTCATTGAAGAGAGCAAACTACCGCTTGACGTTGGATTCATTGGTCATCTAACGTTATTGTTAAAAAAAAAAACATGTTTTTTCACATTTACCTTATATAATCTATGAACCAAGCGTTAAAAAATTATTGATAGAAGACAATTTATTAATTAAAATTTAATTTTTTTTGAGGTTATAGAATTGTTATATTAAAATGCAGTTATATTAGTTGCCTAATATTATCTTACCAGTCATTTCCGGTTTTGGACACATTCTGTCGTTTTCTACCAATTTGGTGTGGTTTGGGTTCGGCGACCATATTGACATCTGAAATAAAAAATAAAAAAAATTGGAAAAATTAAATACATAGTTATCAACATACATTCGGAAGAAAGTACAAAATTTACGCCTGGAAATACATGTGGTAACAATAAATAGAAATCAATGGGTTCCAATATAGTATAGATTATATATATATACATATATGGTACCGAAGACCTGATGATTTGACTTTAGTTAACAACAAAACCCCGATTTTGAACCAGAGAGAGAATGGTGCTGCGGTTGATCCATAAAGATTGAAGATTATATAAATTTATCACTGAACATACTAAAATTAAGCAATAAAGAGGACTAGCTTATTAGGATAGCATATAATTTAATCGARGTTKGCRCTCACACTAAGGTCTGTTGGGTCAYCWTCCGTATCACACGCACATACARAGTCCCAGAACTCTAAYGAATTYCAGRAACTGGAAGGATRCTTTTAAAGTGCCRTGATCGYTATTCTGATATATGGTTCTAAGGACCTAATTAGGCTAAGCAATATGTTCTTGYAAAATCTCCAGCAACCTTTACGCCCTAAAAATCTATAGAACTTGCCGATTTCTTCATAGTTTARTCAATCAAAGTACATGTTGTTTCTGATTTATGAATCACTTTTAACTTGCTTTTCAAAATATGTGCAAGACGTCTACCGTTGCCTCTTATTCCCACTCTTGTCTGTTGTTCTATCATAAATAACTTAAGAGATTGGTTCTTCTGTAACCAGTTATGTAAGAAAATGTAAAAATAGTTTTAATTGCCTCTAATCATTCATTAAACGATTTCGAACGAGTCCACCAAAACTCTTTCCTTTTATATTTCATTTCAGAAATACCCGAAATAAAATCAGTATATTCTTAAAAAKTTATTACACGTTTCATAGAAACACAATCTTACATTTTCATTAATTTCTGATTGAAAAAAAAAAAAACTATAAGAGAAAAAATATGGCCAGAAAACAGTTTTTTAATCAATTTCTAGAGAGGTTCGAAAAAAATACGAGCCAAATTGAAACAACTTCCGCCACGCAGAACACAGTCATTTGTCTTAATAAAAGTCGCAGCAGATTTTTTAGTCCATTTACCATTCGCCAGTCACCGCTCGGCRCTCGCATCGGCTAAGTTAGTGAGCTTGACTGTCAAAAATATTCAAAAACATTTCCACACCCATCCATAACCAGTGAAAAGGGTGTGACAACCGCAGAAGCGGCAACAAAAAAAATTTAAGTAATATTCGCCCGATGTTGTATACGCCATGCCACGACATGCCACTCATCATAATTCATAGAGTCTGCAGCGCGCTGCCCAAACCCCACCCTTCTGCTTTCTTCGTTATTGTCTTTTTTTTTTTTTTTTAGACTCGTTGTGCCAGCCGACGCGCCCACTCGTTAAAGAACGACGGGTGCCTGCTAGCGAATACTAAATCTTACATAGCGAACACCGTAAATTTTGAATTTTTTTTTTTCCAATTTCCTTTTAACGGCACTTCACATGCGGCTAAACGGGTGGACGCACAGCCAACAAACTCGCTGACAAATACAACTACAAATTGCCAGTAGGACTGTCAGCTTGGCTGCCGGCGAACAGCCACACTCTTTCATGCCACTCAATCACGGCACTCGCAGACCGAGCGGCTAGGGAGGAGCATCAGCAGTGGCGGGTGCGTTCGGCCGTCTGTCTGCTTGCTATAATTAAGATTAAGGATAAGAAATAAGAAGGATTTCCGGACGACTTTAAGAGCTAAGCGGCAAAGCGGTTTAAATGTGCCCGAAYCGCGGTGTGAGTAGCTCGGTAAGTTGGTCTGTGTTGATGATGACTTTTACTACATTTCTTATTGTTGTTGGCATTCCATATAGCGAGTGAGCACTTGGTTTGAGGACTTMTGTGGTGCGACTGACTTAGGGTGYGCTATGACGACTGTAAAAATACAGAAATCTCGAATAATTTTAGTACTTCTTCCTCTGCATTCTCTCTCTCTCTTCGAATCATTGTCTTTATCAGTTGACTGCGCGCATAAATGGAGCGTGTCAACCAGCGTCRTTTAAGGCGTTGCATTGTCGGCTGCACAAATTAAAGTCGAAATAAAGCTGAAGTTGAGGAATGTTGTGGTGGCAAAAGCAACAGTTRGCCCTTGTGAATGCGGGGTAGGTGAGAGCAAGATTTTCTCCGTAGTTAAATAAAGAAAATTTACTTAAAATCTCCGACTCATCCCTTTTATTTAATTTACTTTCCAGCCAAGTGCATTTTCCGATTTTCACATGACTAATTGAATTCCATAAAACGCTGAAGCAAATACTCAGCATGCCAACGTTTAAGGTGGAGAGTGTCACTGCCAGTGCCAATTTTCATTTTTCCACAGGTGGTTGGTCGGTGTCGTCGGTAGCGTGTGTAACTTATGATGTGTGTACTCTGTTCCATATGCTGAATTATGCTAGTGAGGAGTGGGCAGATGACTCGAGCTAATTTGAACTTGCTTGCATTATTAAAAAAAAAAAAATTGTTCACTTAAGACTACAAAGGAACTACTGTTAATTTTATTCAAAATCAAATCCACGGAGGGCGTCATAGGTTCATTGAGACCGTAAATAAATAAAAACTTTAGGCTTAAAGCTCTGATAGAAGAAGAAGGGATTACATGGGTTTACGGGTTTCAAAAAATCGACATTTTTTTATATTATCTTATTAAATTCTACAACTCTTTCCTCTAAAATATTGACCTAAATTTTCAAGTTGGTCCAATTAATATTTTCGGAAATGCAGACTAGAGAACTTGTGCGATCGAGGCTAGCTGGGCTAAGTGCGCTGYCTTTAAACGCGTTTTTCTCGAAACTTTTGTTTTTTGTAGTCGGTTGGCAAGATTCCTCAGGAACTACTCAACCGATTTTCATGAAATTTTATACATGGCTTTGAAATACAATTCTTAAAGACTTGGAYGATGGATTGTTTTCAATCACAACTATTTGAAAACAAAATTTTGCGAAATTTTCCCTTAAATTTTAATTTCTTTGTAAAAAAGTCTGCCAAAATCCTATATTAAGTTCTTTTCTTCGTACAAGTTCTAAGTTAGCTAAGATGGCCCTCTAAGCAGTTATCCTATTAAAGTGTCGCATCTTTTTTCCTTTTTCCGAGGGGTCACCGGAAATGGTGTCGCAATAGCCGAGTATAAAATAAATTTCAGATTTTTTTAATAAAGCACTATATGTCTCTTTGTAAAACCAAAAAAAAAGAAGTTCTGGAATAGGTTTCGGAACTGGTTGTATAATTTTCGCTTGTTTTAATCCTAATGATTCAATTGTGTTTCTTCAATACAACTGTGAGGCGGTTTGGGACGAGAACACAAAGCATCGCTGGTTGCCTTTGCGAACCGTGGGACTCGAATCGGTGTTTTTTTGCTGCAGCATCGTATTCCATTCATGCAACGTGGTCTAACCAATGTATTTGTTAGAGTTTTATGCGTTTAACTGTATCCATATCGCCGTTGAGGTCACAGAGTTCATCAGCCATTTTCTTCAGCCCCCTAGAATACTCCAAATGCTTGCTCATCCCTGTCCGGCATCGTCCAAATTCCTGCGCCGTATAATTTGATATTATCCTATGATAACTAAAAAGAGACTGCGTCTATAAAATTTTTTCGTTTATGGATCCGAAAGTAGCACCTGTTGGTGATAACTATTCTTCATACGATGTCCAGGAATAATAGACTGTTAGTGGTATTTAAACTGATTCCAAGATAGACAAAGTTCTTCAGTTTTTCRAAWGAACTGCCAACAGTGAMGTAGTWCCCAAGMAGTGATAATTTTTGTGTGTCGCCTGCGGGTACTTTAACTTGCCCCGTTCTTTAGTGTGTTCTTTTCGAGCTATAAAAGTTCCAGAGCACTCAATATTTCTGTTAAATCAAATAATAAGCTTCACGTTGAAGCGTTCAAATAGTAGGGCGTCCACTGTACATGCTCCTTCATATGCGACAAATAATCACAAWCATATATGTATATACACACACACATATACTCACATGTTCTGCTCTGCCGTTTTTTATGCAAACGTGTGCGAGTAAAAGTTGTTTGTGCAACGCTGCTAAGTGCATTAAGATGTTCTCACTGAAATCGCATATTTTCTGCATTGTTGAAAATAAATTCGCACCTCAGCACACAAGGCGCATACCACTGGCTCCATACGAATGCATTTACGTGTGTTTGTAAGAGTATGTGTGACAATGGTGCAACAGCCAGCAGAAGGCAACGCACTTACCGTTCCAACCAGCCGGCTGTATTACTAACCATATTCACATATATAGCTTGATAGACATATTTATGTATATACGCACAAATTTATATAAATGTAATTCTATGATTTTTTTTCTGCAGGCGCCAGAGCCTGACTGAACACCCATCTTTATGCGCGGACAAATGAGTGCAGTTTTATATATGAATGTGTGTACTATATATATACAACTATATAATATATGTGAGTGCGTGTAAAAATGTGTACTCTTAATAACATTTTTAAACGTTAATGAACTCGTTGGATGCTCACCTGAGAAGTTACATACTTTCATACTTTCATACATATGTACATACATATTGCACATTTGGAGCTCACGCATTCGCCATTCCGGAACAACAACAACAATAAGGAGTAACAATTTGCCWGTACTGAAATTTCATTAAGTGCACATTATTGCCACGTTTAAACGAAGTGCAACAAAATAGGCTGCRAAAGGTTCATATTTTCGTTGCTTTCTTTTTATTGCCGGAAGAAGTGAATCACGGTTCATTTGTCTTGTACTTATGACACAACAATCTCATTTTCATCTGCAGTTAAGATGAGATTTTAAATATATGAAATACTACGCTTAAAAGAGCGGAAAGSTTTTAATTGAAAGTGCATTTAATGAAAACCGTTTTTCGAAGGTGAAGGTATTAGTAAGTAAGTACCAGGTTCATTGAAATTCCTGAGAAATTTCAATATAGGGTCTTTGGACTGTATATCCACAGAGCAGTAAAGTAAGTTTTATGCGTACAACAGACTTTCCATTATACGACAATGAAGAAGTTCGAAAAGCAATTTCTCGTCTGAAGAACAACAAAGCAGCGGGAGCCGAGGGTTTACCAGCTATTGAAAAACAACGGCGAAGACTTGATAAGAAGCATGCATCAGCTTCTTTGTAGAACATGGTGAGACGAAAACATGTCCTAAGAGTGGAATTTTAGTGTGCTCTGCACAATCCACAAAAAGGGAGACCGCACAATCTGCGCCGATTCCCATGAGTTAAGCCTCCTCAACAGCGCATATAAGGTTCTATCGAGCGCACTGTGCTTAAGATTAAAGCCCATCGTCAACAAACTGATTGGACCTTCTCAGTGTGGCTTTAGACCTGGCAAATCAACAACCGAYCAGATGTTCACCATGCGCCAAATATTGGAAATGGCCCGTAAAAAGAGATTCAACACACACCATTACTCAAAGCTGCTTTTGACAGTACAAAAAGAAGCTGMTTCAACCTTTGTCTTATACGGTTGTGTAAACTGATGTTGAGCAATATCAAACCCTCCGTCAGGATCGGGAAGGATCTCTCCGAGCCGTTCGTTACCAAACGCCTCAACAACCACGCCGATAGTTCTACTTTCTACAGGTATAGGTTTGACAGTGAACTTGGCACCCAAGTCACGGTTGTCAGTCATAACTTCGAAGTCGTAGATAATTTCGTCTATCGTGGAATTAACATTAACACCGACAAAAAGCCTCGAAATTCAATAATAACTCTTGCCAACAGTTGCTACTTCGGAATGAATAGGCAATTGAGAAGTAAAGTCCTCTCCGACAAACAAAGACCAAATTCTAGAAGTCACTCATCATCCCCKTCCGGCCACATGGTGCAACGGCATGGACGATGACAGCATCTCATGATTGAACGATGAGCTGTTCAGCGATTTAAGAGACAGCAGCTACGTTGGCTAGGCCATATAGTTCGTATGGATGAAAACACTCCAGTTCTGAAGTTTCAAGTAGTCGTCGCAGCCCAAGCATATATTATGTTTCAAAGAACTTGAATCAAATGCGAAGATTCTGTAAGGATTACTCACTGGTGCTGTAGACTAAGACATTTCGAAGCTGAACATTTTTTTTTAAACTTCTACACTTTTGCTTGTAGTCCCGTAACTTTTTCTATGGAAGCTCACGGTATGGCACTCAGTATTTGTAGGAAATAATCAGCAGATATATTACTTTTGATTTGGGACTAAGACGTTGAGCAAAATTACCACTAGTTTTTCAATAGATATTCGGCAACTCTGAAAGCCTTTTAAAGCACTATATATGAAGACATAGTAAAAGCATGAACTCCTGGAAAACTTATAAATAAAATATGTATACTAAATTCTTCAATAATAAAAATCTAAGATTGACTTTACAAAAGTTGTSATCGTTTGAAACTTACAAAGGCACCAACTTCCGCTTGTCAACAAAAACATAATGAAAGAAATGTCAGAAACMGTAACATTAGAGGATTTCGCTTTCAGCGAGATCGCAATCGGGACACGGAGAGCGCAAAGCAAAGCTGGAGTAGATCTAGATGTGTATAAGAGGTAACATTAGAGGATTTCGCTTTCAGCGAGATCGCAATCGGGACACGGAGAGCGCAAAGCAAAGCTGGAGTAGCTTGGACTGACTTTAAGTTCTATCTAAATACTGGTATCTAACACATTTCGTATTTAAATGCAATTTTAGAAAATTCAACAGCAGATAACTGGCCCACTRCCTTGCTTGCTTGAGTGAGTCGGAAAGGAAAATTCGCGTAGTTGTTAGTGAAACTTAGGTGCATCCGCTTTGCAGCCAATACCCCGGAAATGAAAGAGAAAATTATCGCTGTTTTAACAGCAACTTGAAAGGATTGAATGAGGGCAAGAACAAGCAGTGGAGAATATATAAAAAATTAAAATAAAATAAATTTTCTAGCTAACRGATTGTGAAGAAGTCAAAGAACTTCATCCCTCGCGTAGCACGAAGGAGCGTATGTGTAAGTGTGTGTGCGGGTGTTGAAAGAAATTTTGTGCGCCAGTCGAAGGGAGACCACAGACGCGCCGCCGACACATGGAAGGTTAAGAAATGCGCTAGCTGGAGGTTSACCCAAAAGTAAAGGAATAAATGAATAAAAAGAAGCCCGCTTTGTAGCATAGTAGCAGAGTGCATTTGCCGTTGACGTTGTTGCACAGTCAGTGAAGCCATTAAAAGTGGCAGTTACAAGAAACAGATTAAGCAGTAAAAGTTTTAGACGGCCAATTGSCCGTCTGTTTTCACCACCAACTAGGTTAGCTCGTTGGAACTTTCGTATTGAGCTAGGTTAGCGCATTTCAGGAAAATCGTAAATTAAATTGAATTCAGTCTGAGTACTTAGTATGTACTTGCATGTAATGTTGCGAGTTTTCGGGAGAAAGCTTCTGCGGAATAATTATGATGCTTTGTGCATTGGCATCGGCGAATACCACAACTTTTATAAGGACTCTAAATGGTAGCCGATAATCAATGAGCCTCACCATCATTCAATATTGAATTAGTCATTATCGAAGTTCCATGGTCTCGGATAGACCTATATCGCACAGTCATAAGTGAATCCGAAGAKTCGTATMATGAAACCAWTCAAACRACAGTCGGGTATATGTAACCGRAACGGACACGGAYATTTATCYGGCTAAGGACTCGGAACGATTTCTCGAAATTACTTCAGGTATTTTTGCTGCCGCTACAATAACAGCATCCGAATCATAAAACTAAGAAAAATKTTCTACTTTTCCAAAGGCATTCAATATTTCACACTGGAAAGCTTTTTACGTTTGTTAATGCCTTTGTATTTATTTTTAGAATAAGCTTTCGACTCACCCAATGTCTGACTTAGCACAGTGCGTCCGTCTTCGCCGTGGCAAGCGTTGCGTGCATCGAAGGGATTTGTGAACTGCACGAAAGCGTAACCYTTATGCATCGATATGCCTGAAAGCAGRCAATGAAAGTAAAAAAATACAAAAYTTTCATTACAAGAAATGTAATTCAATGTGATATTAACTCGCTCTCACTCTCTGGCTGCACTTACCCGCCAACCGACCATATATCTGGAACATWCGTTCCACATCCGTTTTCGAGCACTGGAACGTATTCAAATTGCCCACAAAAATGCGCGAATTCACCGCCTGCGGATCCTGCGAGTTCGTCTGATTAGACAGCTTTGACAGCTTCATGGTGTCGCCGACGTTGAGGAAATGTGACGACGACGTCGTGTGATGCTTGTAGAAGCTGTTGGTGGGACTGCTGGCGGCGCTGTTGCTGCTGCTTAAGCTGTGGTTGGCCGTCAGAGCGGCTGCYTTGCTCGCGTATGCCAACGTCTCGGCGTCACAGGTGTTGCCGGCGCTGTAGGTGTGTGCGCCGCTGTGCGGATGCGGTGAGTAGAGGTGGGTCGCCGGCGATGGCAAGAGCACAACCTTCTGCTGCGTATGCGGCTGCTGCTGCTGCTGCTGCAACTGGTGCGGATGGTGGTTGTGCTCGGGGCACGTGGGTGCAAAATATAAAAACGCAATGATGGAAACTTAACGGTAAACCAGAGGAACGAAAAACGATGAAATTGCTGGAATTTCAAGTGTGCGTCACACAATTGCGTATATGTATGTATGTGTGTGTGTGTGTGTGTGCGTGTATGGGTCTTTACGAAATTCCAATGCGCTGATGGATTTATTTCTGGAATTTTAGCTTAAATATCTTTKGCGCGTATTTTTTGGGTGAGACGCGCACAGGGCACCGGAGCTCWACAACCGCCCGCAGGATTACTCGAATAAAGCGCCTTAGCCCGTATAACCTAGGGCGTAACTGGCGCGCGTTATGTAACGCAGTGTTTGTGTGTGTGTGTGTGGTATTTCTGGCCGAAGTTGTTTATTCTTTGTCGGCTTTCTGCTCAAACGCCTGGGATTAGGCTTGAGTACGTGCTTGTGCGCTTAATTGTTTGCGTTAATGATTTGCTGCCTTCGATCTCGTTGCTATGTGCCTTTTTGTTGTAGTTGTGGTGTTTTTTTTTTTTTGCTCTTTCGCTGAATATGCTCCCGCTGTGACTGATTGGGAGAGTTACCGCATCACTTGCGCGCCTGGCATTGTCCGGCAGCAGAGTTGCACAAACACTCTTACACAAACAAATGTATTGTTGTTGTTGTTGTTGTTGTCGGTTACGTCGGCGACTTAACGTAGCCGATTGTTGTTTTCGTTGTTGTTGCTCTTGCTGTTGGGGATGGCGTAACCGCAGTTATTGATAACAATCGGCGCACAAAAACCGTACACAATGGATTAAAAAATCTGCAAGCAGAAAAAAGATTACGTGAAAAGTGAGTGGGAGAGGCTTATGAGTCGGACTACAAAAAAACATAATAAAAACAAAAAAAAAATCAGTTAAATTGAGAATATGGATAAAAATGAACTGACAAGAAGATGTAAATAAGTCCATCATATAACAACAAGTTGCATTGTTTTGTATGCGTGGGGGCGKGTGTGTTTGTGTCGGTGCGCGGATTAACGTTGGCATTGTGCTCTGTGCATGTATATGTCTCTGTGTGTGTGCCTATATTCATGTAAGCGTGTAACCAGCGCTCACACCACATCCGCATTTACATCCGCATGCATTTGCTCGTTTGTGCGCCTAAAAGCACACCACACCATCACTCCACTTAGAGCGCGCATTGATATTCTCGCGCCAACTTGTCGGTTATAATTGATTTTTCGTATTAAAATGCGATTTTCAGTATTAAAAATATACAACACGAAATGCATGGAAATTCAATTAATTTAAGTAGCTTAAATTTTGATTGATTGTTTTTTTTTTATTAAAAGTGGACTTTGCGGCTGTGCGAAGGGCGCTAAAGAACTTGTGCAGGGAGAAAAAATAAYCATTTAAACGGCAATTGTGAGTTTTCATCTCAGTGGATTTTAACCTTTTTGTGGTGAGAGAGAATTATGTGCCAACGCGCAGCTTTAAGTATTGAAGTAACATCAGAAGGAAGGGCTGTTAGATTTTTGTGATATGAATTAAACATCAATTGATACTTAAAAGATGAAAATATGCTTTGTATTGATTGCTAATCTGTCCTTATTTCAAAGTGATTAAAAGCGAACATAAATTCCGTAGTAAGATGAATTCTTAGCGATGCCACGTGGAGTCCGAAGGATTTATAAGTTTCACAAATGTKTCATCTCTTTTAATTCTCGCATTTTAAGGGTCAAGGTTAGGTTAGAAGTTCGAGCTAAAAGAGAACCCTACTTGAACAACTGAGGCAGCTGGTTCATTGTTATGCGTAAATACTCATAAGTAATGGTCGGAAAGACGCTAAGAAAAACGTAAAGGCTGACACAAAGTTGCTGAGGCGGCTAATATCTATACGACTCTTTCATTCGGTTAGCCCAGATATTTAAAGCTTAGCGATGCAAAAGCTTGGCACTGGAGAAGAAACCTACTTCTGTCCAACCATTTCAGTTAGCGTCCGATTGCACAAGTTCTAACGTCTGGTGTGTTTAACGTGGGCACCYKCYGAYGGTTAAAAGCATAGGGGATAAATACGATGCGWTKRTCGGYGATGTCRGGCATTTTCAGTACCAATTGGCAGTGTGGAACGRASTCRCTAACCATMTTTGTAGGGTTCGAGGCCCGTCTAAAACCTCTGTCGTACTTTAGATCCAGCACCCGGTTTCAATGCAACTTCACATTGAACTGGAAGTATAAGTTCGTCCGCATTTAGATATTAAACCACTACCACTACGATACTYCCCGAAAGGCCATGCCGCATGAGAAAGAACTCCAAGGTATCAGATTTAAGTCTCCGGTCAGACTTTGTAGTCGAAACTACTACCAGTTGAGCCGCCATACTACTCTGGACTGGTGACCAAGAATTGACCTCTACCTCTTCGTCTACCTCTCTCTCTACCTCTCGTCCAATATACATACTATTTACTCTGAAACTAACTTTGATTTTCAGCTAATTGTCTTCGCCGTCTACATACTCCACGCGCAAGCCTATCAAGCGTCCCTAGTTGTTCGGTATTCTGACTAGTGGAAATAACACTACTAACTKCTAAACTTCCGTCGGTAAAGTTAATTCTAATACCATCAAGTCCATCTTCATATCGCGTCCCATACAAACAAACTAACCCATTAGAGGGGTGCCTCTGTTGCAGAAATTCATTGAGASGCCCACACCCTCTAGGGCAGAAATCGAGACTTAAACTGAATTTGAAGTCTGTGTTATCTTTGAAAAATGTTAGTTAAGAACTCTAGCGATGGAGTGAAATAAATCTTGTTGGGATCAGGTCTCTGAGATCTTCTACGTTCCGCACTATGCCAAAAGAAGCTCACGCGAAGTCCAGAGGTTCAGAGAGCCATCACTGGAACACAAGAGGACAGTTGAGATGTAACTCGCTCTTAAAGTAACTGGAAGCTTTCTTGCTAGGTCATTGCCTTTGCAGTTTTCTGCGATTGCACTATAACCAAGCAATTGTGATAATATAGTAGTTAGATGGTTTAAGGATCTATATGATGATTATTTTGATCAAAATATAGTACTATTTTACAAAAATCATTGACAAGTATTAAAACTTTGTCTATGGATGTAATAATGCTCGCGAAAAGTCCCGCTATCGCTGAGCAATTAAGACTGAATGCAGAAAGGACGACGGACGAAATCAGCTGACTGGGAAATTGAAACTCGTTGCCTATAATAGGATTTTAGTTGTTTAAAGTGCCCCTTCAAGCCCCTTGGAGWTTTTATGATGATTTCTTCATGACTGAGGAAGTCATTTTAAATCTTTTCAATGATTCGAAAGCAAAAATGTATGTGCAGTGTGGACAGCAGAGCCTCACAGTATGTCTCCTGAATACTAATTAGACACAATTCAAATCTCTAATAGCAGAGAACACCACACAATTTCATAGCCTCCTGTGTAGGTGTGAACTATCCCTTCGCGACTTAAGCGTCTTCGAAATAGAGATATCATTTCATCTGCTCATGAAATGCTCAGCTGATTTTAATAAATGCATGCGGTTTAGTTCGTAAGTAATATATTAGAAATAGCAGTTACTCTTCACTTTTTAGATATCATTTATTTTAGAAGGCTTGGAATATCCTTCATTTACGAGTGCCGTCTTTTCGCACGAGGCTTAAAAATCTGAAATCGAGTGTGTAACATGAAGATAACTAACTATGCTTGTAGTGAAAATATTAAATTTGAATTAAACTTTAAAGCCATTGTCCTAATTGGCCAACTACATACATACATATTTAATATTAATATATATGAAACTTTCATTTTGTATTTTAACAATGTCATCCATTATTTGAGAGTCGTCATTTCGGGCAACTMTTATCTTAAACCGACTACTTTTCCAGCAAATCTATTGAAAGCATTACAAACTTKCCACTCCCCAGCAACCGCTGCTCAACAACTGCTACTCAACCCTTCGGCCGGCTATAATAACTACAAAAACATGGCTTTGTAATGAAAATGGAAATCTAAATAAAGCAAAGACAGCAAAGACACAACAAAGCATTCATTACAAGGACAATGGGACAAACAACTCACTGTCACTCAGACAACCATGCAGCCAGGCTTGGCAAAGGCCCGCACACGTCTATTGAGGCAAAGAGAGCTACGGTGGCGGTGTCATTGAAGAATAGGAAATGTTTTTGCATAAAGTTGAGAATGCCGGTGGAAGGCAGAAGGCGGGACTGTCGGTTGGTCTGTTAAGTTGAGTTGTGGATGTGTGTGTGTGTGTGTTTGTTAATGCATAGAGCTTGTAGTGCACGAAGTATAAAGCATTGAGCCATTCACTCACCCATTCATTCATTCATTCACTCATTCATCCATACATTCATTTATTCATTCATTCATTTATATGCGCTTCGACTCTGCAGTCACTCGCTGCTGCCGCTTTTGTTTGCTTATTCAGGCGCGTTTATTGTCATAAATATTTTCATTTCCGAAACAACGCGCCGACAAAAGCAACTTTGCCGCTTCGCTTCGACAGTACACGCACACATACAGTTATATGAAGTGTATGCACTGCTATATATATAGATATATATATTTATGTGTAGCTGTGTGCATATTATTATATAAATTGGTACTTCAATACACTCAAATATTTACTATATATTTATCATAGGGTGTGCYGAAAAATTTTTTAAAATTTATTTTCCTTAAATACCRTGAAAATATCTTTCGAAATGACGAAAAAAATGGTAAAGTTCGAGATCTGAATATTATTATTACTACTATTTTCCTTATTACTCTTCCTTTACAAGAATTATTTTCATTCGGTAAAAAAAATTTAAATTAATTTTAAATTAAAATACAATTTTTCTCTGACCCATCCTCATATTCATATATGCACATTTTATATATAGCGAACTTGATTTCTTTGTAATTCACTTCAGTTACGTGCCTTCTATAAAAAGAACTTTCTTTCTTTTATTTATTTTTACTCCAGAAATTGCCATCAGCACGTCACTTAAATGGCACATGTGTTGCATGCAACATGCATTTCCTTTATTTTACACATACAAACACTCAGACATCATTCACACATCCCTTTCGTCAATTCATTTGTTTAATAGTATGCCATTTTTCACTAACACTCACATAGTTTATGAGCCTATGAGCCATTCATTTGAGGCTTGTTAGTGTCGCTTATCTGACAGTTATTTATTTAATTGTCAGTCATAAAGCCATGACGTTATTGATATGCTGGTGGAATAGTTGACAATGCGTGACAAAGTCACTCAAGTTGGAGGAAAATCATTTTCCTCATAGCTCTAAAGCAATGTGGACTTATAAGCCGTTTTTATATACTTTATTTTTAAATTTACTAGTTAATTCTATCATTAATTCGTCAAAAGTTTCGATAAATATTTTCACTAATAAGTTAAGAGCTACGAAAATTTTTTCAAGACTCCATATTTGTTGCATACCTTTAGGATCAAAGCTTTTTACGAAAAAAAAAAACTTTTTCCAGACTCCAAATTTATAGCTTATCTTTAGGATCAAAGCTCTTTTACAAAAAAAAAAAAAAAACTTACAGACTCCAAATTTGTAGCACACCTCAAATCAAATCGCTTTACGACAGAAAAATTTTTCCAGACTCAAAAATTATAGCATACCTCTAGGATCGAAACCTTTTAGGCCTGAAAAATTTGTCCCGACTCCAAATTTATAGCATATCTTTAGGATCAAAACTTTCTTATGACAGCGTGCCATCCACTAATGTGCTCCATGCAACATATGGCATCTGTCTCTTATAC